TTTATTTGAGCCATATTTACAATAACCAAGACATGGAAGCAACCTAAGTGTCTATCAACAGATGAATAAAGAAAATGTGAATAAGATATTATTCTTCCATAGAAAAGAAAGAAATTCTATAAATTTTGACATCATGGATGAAGCTTGAGGCCCTTATGTAGTGAAGTAAGTCAGACAAAGAAAGACAAATACTATATGATCTCACGTATATGTGGAATCTAAACAAACTGATCTAATAGAGACAGAGAACAGACTGATGGTTGCCTGAGGCAGGGGTGGTGGGGTGGAAGAACTGGGTGACAGTGGTCAAAAGGTACAATTTTGAAATTATAAGATAAACAAGTACTAGGGATGAAATATACATGATGACCATAGCTAACACTGATGTAGGATATATAATAACATGTTCTGCTGATGTAATACACAGCCTGGTAACTAAATTAGTAATAACATATTGCATATTTGAAAGTTGCTACAAGAGTTATCTTCAAAGTTCTAATAACAAGAAAAAGAAATTTGTACCTATGTGAGCTGATGGATGTTTGCTAAACTTGTTAATCACTTTTCAATATATACATACAATTCAATGTATGTCAAATCATGTTGTACACCTAAAACTAAGACAATGTTATATGTCAATTACATCTCAATAAAACTGGAAAAAAAAGAAAAGTTAATAAGATTGTTCAGGAATTCTATGTAAAGTAAAAAGAAAGAAAATTAAGGACAGATGGAAAAGGAAAGTTCAGAAATTTTCAAAAAAAAAAAAGTGATGTCATAGAAGTGAGAATAGGAGTAGTTGAAGAAAAGAGGGATAAATAAAATGCACAGAGAGCCTAACCATTGTATTTACCATTTTAAAAATAGAGGTTTTCAAGGTAGGTATGAAGGCAAAATTTATTGCAATGAATCATTGAGGAAATGGAGAAAGAAATGTAAAGGTGTCTTTCAGTTTATTTGCTACAGGAGAGAATATAACTTTTAGAAAAGGATATGGAGTGGGGTGCCTGGGTGGCTCAGTTGTTTAAGCGTCCAACTTTGGCTTGGGTCATGGTCTCAGTCTTTGTGAGTTCGGAGCCCTGCATCAGGCTTTATGCTGAAAGCCTGGAGCCTGCTTCAGATACTGTGTCTCCCTCTCTCTTCCCATTCCCCACTCATGCTCTGTCTCTCTGTCTCTTTCTCTCTCAAAAATAATTAAAATTTTTTTAAAAAAGAGAAAAGGAGGGGCGCCTGGGTGGCGCAGTCGGTTAAGCGTCCGACTTCAGCCAGGTCACGATCTCACGGTCCGTGAGTTCGAGCCCCGCGTCGGGCTCTGGGCTGATGGCTCAGAGCCTGGAGCCTGTTTCCGATTCTGTGTCTCCCTCTCTCTCTGCCCCTCCCCCATTCATGCTCTGTCTCTCTCTGTCCCAAAAATAAATAAACGTTGAAAAAAAAAATTTAAAAAAAATAAAATAAATAAAAAAATAAAAAAGAGAAAAGGATATGGAGCTATTTATTTTTGAGAGAAGATTAAAAATAAGCTTAGACTGTGGCAGACCAACTAAAATAGGAAATCATAAACTTGCGGTGGAACAAAACAATATGTAGCTGAATTGACCCAAGTTGCAGATTTGTAGGGCAGACACAGCAGAGAAATACTTTTCCTCTCTCTACCTTCTAACTTTCAAACCACTCTACACTACTGCCAGATATATCCTAAACTTTGCACTATTTCCCTCCTCAGAAAAGTTCAATGGCTACCCATCGTCTATAAAAAAAAATCCAAACTCTGTAGCCTACCTCAGGACTTTTGTGATCTGGCCATACCTAGCACTCCTCATCACTTCCTTGCATACATCCTATGTGCAAGTCATACATCATTACCTTTTATTCATCAAGCACTTCTCACACTGTTATCTACATATACTGCTTCTTATTCTTCGAGGGACAATAAGAATGCTCTCTGTACCACAGCCTCTGTTATAGATGCCCAAGTTTGAGTCTCTGTCTTCTCAGATTCCCTGTAATTATTAACTATGATATTTATTATTATCTACTTATAAAATAGTAATTTCTGTATTTCTTTTCCTCCTGATGAGAGAGAGAGAAGTGAGAGAGAGAGCACTTTATTAATTTTTTACAATCCAGTTTCTAACAGTCCCATGGACATCCTATAGATTTAATAATGGCTGTTAACTGCTTAGAGAATTTGAAAACTTAAGGTAAGTCCTATAATAATATGAATTCTTAAAATTAAGAAGGATGCTATTTCATACTCAACTAACAATCAAGAATGTAATCTCAGACTAGTAATATTCTGTTGAAATGACACAGAATATTTCTTATAAAATATATTGTATGCTACAAATTAATGACAATGGTAAAAGCAATAAAGTTTTTTTTTAATAAAGGGATAAAACAAAATCTTACAGAATTGCTCCCCACGTCATGGCTCAAGAATTGATTTTGTAAAATGAAAATGTGAATATTTTGCCAGGGTCATAAAGGTACACCTTCTTTACTTAAATTTCATAGTAAATATTCACCCAATAAGAAAATAAATTCACATCAGAATTTATGCCAGCTTCTTAAGAAATCAATAAATGTAATGCAACTTCCTATATTTTTGAACAATTATGATTGATATACTTCAAATAATATTTATTGAGTGCCTACTTTTTTCCAAGCCTTATACTAGATACATTCACAAATAATATTTACTATTCAGCACAATCCGGCAAGATAACTATATTAGTTTCCCCATTCTGCAGGTTAAGACATTTGCTTAGGGAAATTTCTGATTTGCCAAGTACTGAACAGGGAAGATCTGATGGAGTGAAGAATCTCCACGCCCATTGAGCTTGCCAATAACAATAGCCCTGAGAAGCTGGAAGATTTTGGTCACCAAAATAAGATTCTTTAAGATTCATTGCATTTACTCTGGCTACAAGGTGTACCGTGAATTTTGGAAAGATAAACAACAAAAGTTGAAGCAAAACAGTCCAATGTTTAAGAAGCTTAATTTTTAGCTATCCAGAAAATTTCATTAGCCAATACACCTTCCCTAGCATTCTATTTAATTAATTTCTTAATGCATATATGGCAGTGTAGCCAAAGGCAACAAAGTATCATCTATTCAAGGGCCTAGGGGAATTATTTTGATAACAATTTCTTGTCATGATCATCAGCCTTGTTTATATGCAATTTATGCTTAAATTATTTGAGGCCATTTTAAAGAGGTTTTTAAAGAATTCTAAGCAATCTCTGTCCCTCAATTATAAAAATTATTTTCATAGCCATTCCAGAAAGGTTTTGCTAAACAAACTAGACCTTCACCCTCTCGCGTTTAAATAATTGTTAATATCAATTAGTGACCTATTTCTTTACCTGTTAGAACTGTTGCACATTTTACATAACACTTTTTAATAGGGCATGCACTTTACTCAAGTACATCTCAGACACATATCTTCATTTGCAGGTAATGCAAAGCAACCTGATAATCACTGAATAAGATTGATCACATTTCACATTTGATACAGATTTAATATATTACCTCTCTGTTGTGTTGAACGTGAATTTTATTAAACCAAAAAAGTACTTATTTGGTTCTCCCATTGAGTGATACCACTGGGGGGAAGTTCTACTTATGAAGATCTTTCACAAACCTTGTGTTCTTCAGGTATAGTATTAGACATGAGTTGCTTAAAATTCTGATAGTTTATGGCAGCACGGACTACTTGCATTCATAAAAAACAATCTGAAACTTTTGTCTTTTACTGCAGTCTCTTGAGAAGTGCAGCTTTTTTTTTTTTGAACCTCCTCTTTGTGATTTGTAAACATGGGGGCTAAATCTTGTTGAGAGAAGTACTTGATAGGGCTGCTCCATGGTCTCTTGTGTCTCTGCAGGTTTTCCAGCAGAGGCACCAACACTTACTTCAGAACTAGCTTTTCAAGGATGTTTGCATGATGAAAAGATAATATCTCCCTCGAGGGGAAAAAGCAGGTTTCTTTACTGTGCATGATAATAATGATAAGGGCACCCTCCAGGGCAAAGATCAGACAGGCTTACTTCCTGTAATAAAAGATTTGGGTTCCTTAAACTTGAGGTCCCTCTCTGATAAGACAACCCAGGGCATGTGCTTCTGTCAGTTGGCCCTCTTCACATCATGCTTTGGGAATTGAGACTTGGAGAAATAGCACCAAAATGCTGATACCCTTGCAATGGCTATTTTTGTAACAAGGCTATTTTCTCTGAACCAAAAGCCTGCCTCGGCCGTCATCCATGAAATTATATCAGGCTAACTGGTTAGCTTACAGGCAGGTAACACAGGTTTCCCAGTTTGTATTAATGGTAAGAATTTCACAGACTGTTATCTGGGTAGTCACTTTCAGAAAACAGTATCATATTCAGGATCTCCATCTTCTTAACTTAAGTAGCCAATCCAGTATTTTTACTTGATTTGCCAAGAAATTTGCCATTTCCTAGCACAAAACTCAGCTGAGTGCTTGGATTTTTCTTACTTATTGATGATCTTTCCCTCTGTCCTTTAGTGAAAAAATTGATCCAGTTTCCATCCCCACTAGTTCTTCAAACAAAGAAAACTTCTGGCATGATTTTCTACTTTGAAGTGAGTAAAATACCATTTTTCTCAAGACTTCTTTTTCCTTCTATAAATCACTAACATCTAATCCATTTACCATTTCTTCATTTATGTGATTTTGATCTAATCATATGACCAATCCTAATCTTACATGAACATTCTTGTATCTTCAGCTAATTATGCTAAATTAATAATCTGGTATTATTTCAAATTTTACCATTAACTTATTTTATCTCCTACCTAAATTCTCTCCTTCTTGATTGTAAATATATTTAGCATAATTAATTGCTTTAATTCTCAAGAGACTAATTTTTCATATGTATTTTCTGTAGAAAGCATCCAAGTAGCTGTTGACATTTCCCCTATATTGGATTAAGTCCTTCATAGGGTGGGGCAGACAAGGGGTGGATATTATCTCACCTTAAAAATAGATTTCACATGAACATAATTGCACTGAATATCTAATTTTTCAAGTAATTTGTGAGTTTTTTCTAGGTTAATTTTTCCACCTCTAAATTCATCCCGAATCATCGACAAAAACCATGTATGAAGCACAAAAAAAGAAGTTAAGGAAATTCTCACAGAAAATCATTAAGTACTTAAAATGCCTAAGGAAATATTTGATTTCTTTTCAATTTAACGTTTTTATTTTTATTTTTAAGGGATAGTCTATCTTTTGCTTAAGTGACAAAATAATTCTATGATAAATTATGGTTAAAACAAAATTAGGTAGGTACTATTCTGTAGTGAAGGTATGAGAGGGCATACATAACACAATAAAAATTACAGGAAAAGAATAAAAATAAACATTTGAGGAATCAAGTTATTATTTGGGAAATACAGTCTATTTCCTGAGACATGGACTTGGGGGACAGCTGGGCTTCAAGATCTCCCTGTCACTTGACCTCTCTCAAGTTCACTTTCCTCATCTGAAAGGTGAGCAAATTAATATTTAGGGAAAGTGGGGGCATAAGTTCTCAATATATTACTGAACACAGTTTCTGCTACTGAGTGTTCAATAAATAGTTACCATGTTTGATATAATTATTATTACCATGACATTAGCCAGATGTCCAGCTACACGTGCCAAAAAAAGGCAACATTTTAAGTACCACCAAAAAGGGTTAAAAATGCCATGCTGAATGTATATTTGGTATGAATAGAAAATTAAAATAATCAAGCTTACTTACTGTATACAGACAAACTACAAAAAAATTAGGACACTTCAAATGGAAAAACTGAAATTGGGAATTAATATGACAACTTATAATATCATGAAAGGTACTTGTGAAAATTGTTCAAAATTCCACTCAGTTTCAGACTGCTAAAACTAATGAAAAGCCCTCACATATAAAGGCTATGACTTAATATGGCAAAGCTCATGTTCTCATAAGAAAAAGACAGGAAGTAAGGGAAATGCAGAAAAGCTTAGGACGGATGGAAGGAAGAGGTTTATACTTAAATGAGAGAGGCTTAACTTCCAGACTCTTCAAAAAGAAAGAGGAGAATCAAGTAAAGGGGATTAATTAAGAGGAAGAAGAGAAAAGAGGAACAGAAAGGACTTCTGAATGGATATTTGTTCTCCATATTTTCATGGCCTGTTGTTATGCTTCTCCTTGCTTAGTAGTCTCTCCCCATTACATGTTGTCACAGGTCTCAAATATAGTCAACTCTGCCCTTTTGTAGTAAAGGAATTTCTTGATATTCATCAGCTGTTGCCTCTGACCCTTTTCTAGAGAGAAAGCAGAAAATACAGAGTGGTTTGCGCCTTTGTTCTTTGGAGATAGCTCACAATTAAATCCCATAGAATCCACATGCCAGATGTGGTCCCTGCATTTCACTGCCCTTGAAAGTTTCTGGCTTCTTGCTTACATTTGAACAATCTTCAAACCCTCAATGGTTATAATGCAGTATCCTCTGCTGTTTGGCATTTTTCTGTCAACTGCCATCGTATCTTGTTTTATTTTTACTCTTTTGTTGAACCCCCCTGAAACTTTTGGGCATAATGTGCTTCCAGTGGGTTTGGGGAGAATATTCTGAGGGCCCTAGGATAAATAAATGCCACTGTGGTCCCCAAAGGTGCAAAGGGCTGCCAAACCCTCTCTAGAAACTCTAGGCTGCTTCTGTAGATTCCTGACAACATAGAATGCCCACAGCGACACACCGCTCTTGAAGAAGGCTGTTTGGGAGGCTAAGTTTTTAAAATCTTCAAAATACATACAGCTGAATGGCTGGGTACCACGCTGTCAGGTGACCGTCATGTTTTTCTTTTGGCCTGAACACCCATGGTGACATCATCAAAGGTTCCACACTTCATAGAGAAAGGTTCTTTATGACTTCATCAGGAGACTCAGCTTGCAAGACAACCTGTTTTCATGATTAGCCATAGTAATCCTAAACTTGAATGTTTAACACCTTGATGGGAAAGGTGTCTCATGGAATGTTTTCTCATCCTTTGAACACTCTTTATTTCAGAAGCTTTGCTTCTGCTGCAACCAAGCATGTCACTTAGCATTCTGAGTAGGAAAGAGAAAGAAAGAGTAATTCGCAGACTGTTGATACAGGCTCCTCCAGGGGAATTTGTAAATGCCTTTGATGATCTCTGTCTGCTTATCCGTGATGAAAAACTTATGCACCATCAAGGTGAGTGTGCAGGCCACCAACACTGCCAGAAATATTGTGTACCACTCTCTATCGATGGAAATCCAGTACTCTTGTCTCACCACAACGTAATGGGTGACTACCGATTTTTTGACTATCAAAGCAAACTTTCTTTCAAATTCGACCTGCTTCAAAACCAGTTAAAAGACATCCAAAGTCATGGTATCATTCGGAATGAGACAGAATACCTGAGAAATGTTGTTCTGTGTGCCTTAAAACTGTACGTGAGTGATCACTACCCAAAAGGAAATTGCAACGTGCTGAGAAAAACCGTGAAAAATAAGGAGTTCTTGATAGCGTGCATTGAGGACCACAGCTATGAAACAAGAGACTGCTGGAATGGCCTTTGGAAATCTAAATGGATTTTCCAAATCAATCCATTTCTAACCCAAGTAACAGGAAGAATTTTTGTGCAAGCTCACTTCTTCAAGGCTGTCAACCTTCATATTGAAATCTCCAAGGACCTGAAAGAAAGCTTGGAAATAGTTAACCAAGCTCAACTGGCTTTAAGTTTTGCGAGGCTTGTGGAAGAGCAAGAGAATATATTTCAAGTTGCAGTCTTAGAAGAATTACAGGAGTTATCGAACGAAGCCCTGAGAAAAATTCTACGAAGAGATCTTCCAGTGACCCGCACTCTTATTGACTGGCAAAGGATACTCTCTGACTTGAATTTGGTGATGTATCCTAAATTAGGTTATGTCATTTATTCAAGAAGTGTGTTATGCAACTGGATAATCTAAAGGATTGCTCCTGGTAATTGTCTCAGCCTGATTTAGTGGTATTTCCGGGAGGGGTGTTGGTATTTTCCTAAAGAAGCCACTAGAGATGCCTATCACTTGACAAATGTAAGCTTAAATTAAGGAAAAGTGTAACAAATACTTTTACTCAGGGAATATTAACCAATAAGGCAAGAAAAGGGTGATGTAAGTGTGCTTCATGGTAGCAACCATCATAAAGCCAGAGATGCCTATTAGAACCTAAAACAGCTTGAAACAATGTGGCACCCAGAAGTATTACAAAGGTGGCCAGGGTTAAGGATGTGTGTAGTGTGTGTGTGTGTGTGTGTGTGTGTGTGTTTGGAAATGACCTTTGATTTTCTTAGTAACTAGAGAATGTATACAAAAAAAAGTCACTCTGCAAGTGATAATTCACATAATTCCGTTCAGTCATACCCAACCCAGACAGCAGATTTCAGTAAGTGACATAAGTATTGGATATTCCATGAAAACAACAGATATCAAAAATCTACCTCAGATGAAGAACTAGAGGTAACCTTAGAGCCCCTGCCCTCCAAGAATTGGGATTATTCAAATCCCCAGGCTTTTCTTTTCTTTTTTAATGTTTATTTTTTAAAGACAGAGACAGAGACAGAGCATGAATGAGGGAGGGGCAGAGAGAGAGGGAAACACATAATCCGAGGCAGACTCCAGGATCTGTGCTGTCAGCACAGAGCCCAACGTGGGACTCAGACTCATGGACTGAGAGATCATGACCTGAGCTGAAGTCGGATGCTTAACGGACTGAGCTACCCAGGTGCCCCAAATCCCCGGGCTTTTCTGATAACTAAGATGGTCTTTGAAAAATCAACTGGAAAAGCTAGAAACCTTGGGAAAAAATCAACTGGAAAAGCCTGACCTCTCAAGCTTACATAGTTGAATTCTTGTGAAGTCATCACTGTAGGCATTTATAAGTGCTTACTTCATGCCAGGCCCTGTGCTCAACAACTGGCACACAACTTTTCATGATTCAGCTGGCACTATTAGTAATTCCATTTTATGAGAGAAGAATCTAAGATTTTGAGTTGTTTAATTCATCCTGGCACATAGTAAGTGACAGGTGTGTCTGGCTCTGCTCTTATCCTCTAGGGTATGACCACTCTCCCTGGAGGCCTGTTTCATTAAGAGCTGTACACTCTAGGGGGCGCCTGGGTGGCGCAGTCGGTTAAGCTTCCGACTTCAGCCAGGTCACGATCTCGCGGTCCGGGAGTTCCAGCCCCGCGTCGGGCTCTGGGCTGATGGCTCAGAGCCTGGAGCCTGTTTCGGATTCTGTGTCTCCCTCTCTCTCTGCCCCTCCCCCATTCATGCTCTGTCTCTCTCTGTCCCAAAAATAAATAAACGTGGAAAAAAAAAAAAAAAAAAAAGAACTGTACACTCTATAATGATTTAGGCAAGCATTTCATCCAAAGGACACTTTCATAGGATCCGGACCACAAATTACCTATTCAGTCACCCTATTACTATTCCCAGCAAGGTGACTGACCACTTGCTTATGGTCTCAAAGAATTCCAAATCTAAAGCTCTCTAATAAGATTGTAACAGAACAGTAGAGAGACCCCATCCCCTAATTCTGACTTACTGCTAAGCCAAATTCTCTGTATTTTGGATCCAAGCTGTTGAGAAAAGATCTCATTCTACATAAGAAGCATTGGAGCAGACAAGGTTAGAATTTCTAAATCTCAAACATTTCTACCTTAACTGGTGGTTCTTAGAGAATCTCAGGAGAATTACTTAGGGCATATCTTTAAAAATACAACTTCCCAGGGACGCCTGGGTGGCTCAGTCAGTTGAGCCTCCGACTTCGGCTCAGGTCATGATCTCACAGCTCCTGGGTTTGAGCACTGCACTGGGCTCTGGGCTGACAGCTCAGTGCCTAGAGCCCGCTTCAGATTCTGTGTCTCCCTCTCTCTCTGCCCCTCCCCTGCTTACACTATGTCTCTCTCTCTCTCTCAAAAATAAATAAACATTTTTTTAAAAAATTAAAAAAAATACATCTTCCCGGTATCCATCCTCAGATTTGATTTAGTAGGCTAAGAAATCTACATTTTAAACAATTTTCAGAGATGACTCTGTTGCAAGGGAACCCAGCACTACATTTTAAGAAATATCGGT